TAAAGTGTTTTATTTAAACTTTAAAATTCTAAGTTTTAGTCTCACTACAAGCTCTTATATGAATTACCTAACCTTTTTGTGTTTCTATAATTAAATAACAATTCTAAATTTTCGATGATTCATAATTTTAATTCGCTCATTAAGAAAATCTTTAACTCGTTGACGTAATAAGAAGTTTATTTCTTTACATAAGGGTTAAATAAAGAAAATATAGTTTTAAATCAAAGTTAGATTTTTGATATCTAAAATCTAACTTAGATTTCAACCTATTTATTAATACATGTTTGAAAAGCATTCGAGGCACTATTACAAGATCTCAACATAATAAAAAGAGTTCGAGTACCATCTGTAAATAATGAGAATTAAAGAGGTTTTTTGGAATCGTCAAACCTAAATTACTAAATTAATATTGATATTTTCTTACAATTTCACTATTTTTTCTAAGTACTTTGATTGTTAAGTGAATTTTGTAATAGTGTCATGGCACTAATTATTATCGCTCTCAATTAAAGATTCATAAATCCACAATTATTCTATTTTTATTTAGTTCGCTGAGGTAATCATCATTCACGAATCTTTTAACTCAATTGAGTTGAAATTGGTTCGGTTTTTATTGTAATATCTATTAATGAAATTATTTCATTTGTGATTTCATTCATTAAAGCTCGGAATAAGCCCTCGAAGTGTTATTTTGTCTGTAAATTGATATCAGTAGCTATATACTTATGTTTTTCTTAATCTACCGGTTTTTCACTAAATAACATAAAATTTACTAATTACTAGTAATTGTCTACTATGTTATCTTCTAGTTCAAGGGCCATTTTGTCACCATCTTGTGTGTATGTTTGTCTACGAAATGAATATGTTATTCCGTCTTAATATTATTTAAAAATATCTGTTTAAAAACCATAGGAGAAAGGCAAAAAAATAATTATAATGATTTAAATTAAGAGATATGTTTATTTGTTTTTAGCAATATTAGAAAATACTGTCTATAGTTTACGCGAGTAGGACACATTTCAATAAAACACTTTAACTGTTTAAAACGCGATATATAAGCACAATAAGATTATAAAAAGTTATGTTCTACAATGAATAACAGAATAGTTTCAATGATCGAGGCCTGGGGAAAAAGTTAATTGTTCTGGCGTGAAAGGTTATATTTGCATACAAGCGTTTGCACCGCTACGTAATGTATTTAAATTTGGCTGATTAAATTTTTTCAGGTGGCAACAACAATTTTGGCGACTTTCGTTAGTAAAACTAATGGAGATCTTTTTGTAACTGTTAATGTAATTTTAAAAAATGCAAATTCATTTAATAATTACATTGAATTGTGAATAATTCAACTCGAATCTTTATTCAAAAACGTTAGCAGTCAATGTTTCGACTTAGCGTATTCTCTGTACTTCATTCATAATGCATGATTCGTAAACTTGGCGTTTTCTCGCACGGTCAAGTTCAAGTAAGGTCATAATCGTATGTCAAAGTCGCAGATTACGCATGCACAGTGCACGCTGCTTGTTTCATCGGTACAAATAAAAATGAGCTCTATATATACACGATTAAAGACTGCAGTAGTCTAAATTATGGTTGTGAAATAATTTTTAATCATAAGAATACCTTCAGTTCTAATATAGGTAAACCCTGTTTATTTATGCTAATATATAAAGCTGAAGAGTTTGTTCGCGCTAGTTTCATGAACTACTGGTTCTAATTGAAATAATATTTTTGTGTTGGTTAGAGCATTTATTGAGAAAGGCTTCAGACTATAAAACATCGGGCATTAGGAGCGAAGTGACAGAGAAATGTAGAGAAAACGAGGCGGACGTGGGTTTCCGCTACGTACTCTGAAAACGTTAAGTGCGCCTAAAAATATGCATTAAAGAATGATTCCTCTTTAAATCATCTAAATAATACAAAGTAGCAATAGCACTGTATGTCTATCTTTAAGGAGGAACTTGCAAGAACAACGGGACACGACCGACGTCGTGGGTAAAAGCTTAAATTTATAAAGATGAAGTGGAGGTTGCATAAATAAATTTGGATGGCCAAAATATCTATTCTACGCGGACGAAGTCGCTGACACAGCTAGTTAAGTGATGTTATTAGTAAGGAATATTAATACGAATAGTATCTAGACATCGCGATGTATTGATTAAGGCCAAGGCCGTAAGCCAAGTGGATGAAGAAAATGGCGCCTAACTTAATCACACACGATTTATTACAATTGTAAAAAACTGTAAGCCTTTTATCACAACTCTTATAAGTATATCGTGGATAGCTCGATGTTGAACGTATGGCTAATAATCAACGGGCCGCAGGTTCGATCCCCGCTGGGTCCAACATTTTCCTAATCAAATACTGTCTTACAGTAGTTTACGCGATTAGGACACGTTTAAATAAAACATTGTAACGGTTTAAAACACGATATATATTAGTTAACATATTTAAAAAAATATTTCCGAAACGTCGAACCGTAGTTCAAATAAATAGTTTATAACTTAATTAATATATTTCGCGTTTTAAACCGTTAAAAGTGTTCTATTTAAATATTTTGTATAATTTTTTTTCAGTTTTGTTTACTTTATTTATCGCAGTAAATCCTTATCCGGTAAATAATAGTTGTCGCTATTATAAAAATTAAGCCCTAAAATTACTAAAACGTTTACTGTAACAACTCGTAATTTTGCAATTACTATAATGTAGAAGAAGATAATAGACAAACAGACATACAGATAGAGAGAGAGTATATTTTTATCAAACAAAAGTCTGCCTTAGTGAAATTTGTCCCTAGTTCTTTCTGTTTGGGAGGTCGGAAGTTCAAATTCTGGTCGTGCTGCCGTTTAGTTGCTATCTTAAATTATGTATATTACATATTATGTAGTATAAATTGTTCCGAAACTCGCCTCGCCGTAACAGCAATCTTTATTCGTTCAAAATAGTCAACAACATGTGTTTAAGAATAACCCCAGACATAAATCTATGTCCGCGTGAAACGGAAGGTCATTTTAAATGTTTATCGAGAGTATTATCTTAAACTTACTAACATTTCAGGCTCCGTCAACGTCGTGATAATTCACAATAGTATTATTATATAATAATTAATATTCTATATACAAATACATATTATGTAATAAGGGTTGTCACTTGTACTTTTGTTGTATGTTTGTATTCTAAACTCAATATCAGAGATTAGTGATTGAGTATAGTATTACGTTAAACTCGAAGTCTTCGGTTCGAATCTCATGGAACTGATAGTGTCGGACAGGATGACTACAGAAGTGGGATCAACTTACCTGTATGTAACTTTGGTAACCAAAAATGGAACGACTTAACTTCTTAGTGATATGATGGTTATCAGGCTCTGACATCGAATTCAAATTGGTAATACCATAAAAATAATTTATATTATAACGCCTTGTCGTTCCTCCTATAAGCACATGACATAAGCAGATTTAACTTAACATGCGAAAGCTATCAAACTATGAAAAAAATAAGTTTTATTTCATTTTACTTATGTGCTTTTCGGAATAACCCCATTTTAAGTTTAAACTACTATCAATACATGAATAAACATGGCACGTTAATAAATAGAAGAGAAAGGAACTGCACGTAGAAAGTTTATTGTACCTTTTCCCTGGCAATTTTATAATGTCCCAGATAAAAACTGTCTCCGTGATTAATGATTAAACACATCGTCATACAGTGCATAATGCAGGGGAGGGATTTCGAATCCCGGTAAAACTACTACAACAAAGTTTGTGTATTTGTAACCTTTTATTTATTTTCTTATTTCATTGTATAATTTATATTTAGGTATTTGTATTTTGGTGTGGATTAAATTATTTGAATAATATTATGATAAGTTAATGTAAGGTTCGGTCTGATAAGGCACAGAATAATAAGATACATATCCTATATATATAAAGCAGGATTTTACTCACCAGAAAAAGTGATAATTGCAGATTAGGTTGTTTATTAAAATTTGTACAAAAATATTTCTGAAACTTTCCACGCAAGAAAATTATTATATTAAATCATTAAATAACAGGCAACCCTTATTTTACAGTTGACAATAATCCTTTGTGAAATAATTTACATACTGGCGTAGTCGTCTGTTTAGCGTTGTGATATTTTACGATTGTTTTCGCTATATCGTGTAATTCAGTCGATTTAAGTCGTCAATACATAATAAAACAATGTTCATTTGATGGTATGAGGATAAACAAAATGAGCTGTCGAACTATTCTGGCTTTAGAATCCATAAGAAAGCCAACATATATCTTATAATATAATATATTACTTTTATTAATAAGCAAGTGTTAAGGTTTAAATTACATTGCGCGAGAAATGTACGAGTAAGTATGTTTAATAGGATGAAAAAATGACTACGGTAAGAGCTCATTGGCTAAATTGGTAAGAGCAAAAGCACGAAACGCAGACGATGCCGGTTCAAGTCGTACAATTTTTCAATTTATTTTCGATTTTTAATTTAAAATAAAATAGTTTAGAAAAAGTTGGGCCCGATGGAGATTAGCGATTAGATTAAAAAAATTGTTGGAAAACCAACAAATAGTTACACACTTGATTGATTTATGAATACTCTCAGAAGATAGAGGCCAGACACCTTACTTTGTCTTGCATTTGTAATATAGGCAAGACGGTCATTAGTCATAGGTTGCCACCGCATTATGTTTCCCTGGGTCTCGAACTATCGACCTGCGCGTTAACAATTGAGTCGTTAACCAAAGGCAAATTTTTTTTTATATGGATCTATGAACCCATACAACATATATTTAAATATCTATAGGTTCACGCCAATTGGACGTAGAAATAAATACAGTTTAAAAATGAAAAATAATTAAAAAAAAATTTCGACTCAGTCAGGGCTTGAACAGGCGTCGTGTTTTTAGCAACACAGCGTTGCGTGCTGTTGCTAAAAAAAAAAACAAACAAACATGAATTTTCTAACTTTTACCTTTTTTTCACAGTTTACAATGAATTCTGGCTGGCTAGCATGGGAATGCATAGTATTTGCAGTCTTCATATGCATATCATCAGTCCTGCCTCTATGGAGTCGGAAGAAGGATGTCAATGCAGCAGGCGGCAGCGCCAAAGCGGCATACATCTTCGCGGGGGGAGGGGTCTCCGCTTTATCTATGATGTTATCTGTGGCACGAGGAACACTGGGAGTGCGGTCGTTTTTAGGTAAGCATAACAAAATGCAACTAGTTAAAAATGTAAGGCTAATAATCAATGGGTTGTGGGATCCCCAATTAATTTATAATTTCCCTGAAACATGTTGGACTTCTTTTGAAAATATGGGTATTAATAGATATGAATATTTAGATACCGTCCGGGTCACGAACCACGACTCACAGACGAAAAAGCCGGAAAGTTTAATCACGTTTCTGTTTCCGCAGATCCAAAGCAAAAGTAGTTCAATAGTCCATAGCTTATTTAGGTGTTATATGGCTGTGATATTTCACCTTCCACCTAGTTAATCCTATGCTTGTCTTGTCCCCTCTATTATAAAAGAGGAGGACGACACAAGCAGAATATTTTCAATTTATCGCCTGTCTTAGGCATAGGTAACTTAATAGGTGTTCAAGTTTTTCCCATCATATTGTTACTTCAAAGTATGAACCTGGGCCCTCTAAGCTATCAAGCTTACAAGCTTCTAGTATTAACTAGGCAATGCAAACTAAGCCGTACGGACGTGTTATGTTGGTTTTATAATAGGTAATGTTTCAATCTAAACACGTTTCCCGTGAGTTATATTTTTTTTATAGTGGTCAATGACACGTTCACTATTACAAGGTCATACAAGGATTTAAAAAATACTTTAGACGCATAACGTCAGGCGTTGGTTCAATAGTAGCAATATATTACAATCTAGTCGCAGGTTCAATTTCCACCGGGTTTTACACGTTTGTCAATCCTTTTATAAAGGTTTCCTGTAATATTTAAGATCCCAACTAAACATGATGTGCATTAAATAAGTGATATATTTTCTATAATCCACAGTCACGACAGATAGAAAAACTCGTGATTTGTAAATGTATATCAGTCTGTGGATTTTGAATTTCGAATTTACAAAGCCTAAAATACTTGCTAAAACAGCACACGACACGTGAACCCCGTGTTTGTCTGTATAGTGTCTGTACAGACAAACGAGTTATTGTCCTAACTAGTCTATAATTAGTGATAGGTCAGTGGAATTTTCTGTTTGGAAACTTGTCAACTGTCTATATCTTCCGCCGTAGATATAGACGTAAATAAACAAACATTAGACGCTTCTTGCTTCCTAAAGATCTAAGGTCAATTCAAACACGTTATGCTAGAATGAGCTACTTGCACTAAAAATGTAAGCTGTGCTTTTTTGCTGGATTACGACTTTCACTAGCTGTCAATATGCTAATTAAATAAGCTGCTATTATTTACAAAAAAAAAATTGTAAATATAAGCTTATTTACTAACTTATTTTGGGTATCATATTAGTCAATTTTTCAAACCTCCTCAGCTATATTATTATAGCTGTTACCCACGACGTCGTCCGCGTTCTGTTCTTGCGGCTCAATCTTCAAAGATAAACATATATTGTCGCGAACATTATTTTAGATTATTTAAAGAAGAATCATTCTTGCAACATATTTTTTGATTTCTTGAATTTCGCAGAACACGGAAAGGAAGTCCCTAAAGATTTTTTTTTCAAATTTTTTTCCTCATATCTCTTCTCTCTCCCTGTCTGATTTTTCACAGCTTAAAGCTTCTTTGTAGAATGATCCGGCCAACACAAAAATATTATTTAATTCGTAGCAGTAGTTCCTGAGATTAACATGTTCAAACAAACAATTTCTTCTTGGTGGCGTACAGACATGTAGGTGGCGACGATACTTATGATTTGTTATTTGTTTAATGTACTGCTGTACAGTTGGCTAAACTTTTGTTTGAACTAATAAAATAATTTGACCAGGATTCGAAACCTGGACAACTCGCTGTTCAACTGGCTATTCGTAGGTAGATGTATTATTATAGTTCTTGAATATTCAACTGTTAGGCAGCCTAAGGCTTCTTAATCTGGTTCAGCTGACTTAACTATTTCCCACACGTGTTGAAACACGTTTAGTGTAATTGTCAAAGGTTCACGTTATAAGTACTTCGTTACTATGCATACAGTCAACCAAGCAGACGGATTATCGTATACACTTGAAGGTTACATTAGTACGTTAGGATAATTGATCGTTTTATTTTATAAGAAATCATTTAAAATTACATTGTGAGTTAAATAAAAAACCCTTAATGGCTTTTAAAGGCTCAATATATTACTTAACTCATTTTAACCACGGCTGCTGCAAAGCATCCGAAACATCGAGCCGTAGTTAAATTAAGAATTAGTTAAGTAATATATTTTGCGATTTAAACCGTTAAATATATTTTATTTATATCTGTGAAGTTGTTCCATTAACTGAGCTACTGTCACAACGTCTATTTTGATCTTTCTTATGCAAGGTTTGTCATTTTATTACTTACGTTACACTACTGATGTAATTATACAGCAGATTAATATAAAAAGATCGATTATTTGTAATACCGGATCCGCTCACACCGAGAAGCGAGGCGACGCGTATAGCGACAATGCTTCATGAGGGATGCACAGTGCGCAGAACCACATGGACGCTCTATAATTATTATATACTAGCTATGTCAGCGACTTTGTCCGCGTAAAATAGTTATTTTGGGTATCCAAATTTGTTTTTAAAAACCCCCCCTCCTTTTTTTTAATTTTAAATTTTTCCCCCCACCCAGGGGCCGGCGTTCCCCCTTTTTCGGGGGATCCCCTTTTTGGAAAAAAAAAAAAAGGGGGGGGATTTTTTTTTTTTTTTTTTAAAAAAAAAATTTTTTTTTTTTTTTTTTTTTTTTTTTTCCCCTTTTTCCCCCCCCTCTTTGGGGCCCCCCCCCCCAAAAAATATTTTTTTTTTTTTTTTCCCCCCCCCCGGGTTTGTTTTTTTTTTTTTCCCCCCCCCCCCCCCCCCCCCCCAAAATTTTTTTTTCCCCCCCCCCCTTCCTTTTTTTTTCCCCCCCCCCCCCCCCCCCCCCCCCCCCCCCCCCCCCCCCTTTTTTTTTTTTTTTTTTTTATATAAAAAAAAAAAAAAAAAAAAAAAAAATAATATATATATTTTTTTTTTAAAAATTTTTTGGAAAAAAAAAAAAATTTTTTTTTTTTAAAAAACCCCACAAATGAATAAGCCGCAAAGTTTAATCGCATTTCGGTTGCAGTATGAATTTCCAAATATCCAAAGTCAAAATATAAGACAGCGCTTATTGTTTAGATGTTTCAAGACCGGGATATTTCACTTACCATATGGTGAACGATATGATTGTCTGTCCTTCTCCTTTAAAAAGAGTTATAGTTTGTACAGCAATCTTAAAAAGAGAGCGTCATGACTCGTTTCGCTTCTCAGTGTAAGCTGACCCTACATTTGAATTATGTATTATCTGCGGTTTACGCGAATATGTTTTTTAGAGTTTAAAACTTAGATGACTTGTTTTTATCTATAACCTGTCATTTTGGATGCTGCTTAAGTCATATTGCGTGTGTTAAACCGTCAAAAATGGTTTATTCCACCTTTACATAAATTACCATGATGATCGCAATTCGTTTACGTTTGATGATAAACATATATGATTGACATTTCTTAGTTGTTATGGATTTGGTTGTGTATAACTTATTAAAATGTCCACTGCCTCAGTGACTCTGCAAATTGCTTACAATTATCCTCTCATCCTTTTTTCTACTTGGACGGACATAATGAAGTATAGAACTTTGAACGTATAAAAATAATAAAAGGCGTCAAGCAAAAAAATATATGATGGGTTCGCTATAGTTTCGGCAAACCCGTTTGTCTTATAATAAAAAAGCTGTCAATTTTTTTCGATACAAATTTTTTTAAAGGTTCCGTATAAAAATAAAAAAACTTTTTCACCTAATACTGAACGATGTTAATTCCGTTTAATTGTTTCATAGATTTAGATTATTTATTTTTTCTTGTATCTTATTTTCCAGTCATCACATTTTCAGTGTGAATTGTATGTAAAAAAATATAAATATATATATATATATAAACGAAAAATAAAACGTACACTGACCCCTAAATATTACAAATTTACAGACAAAAAAAATCCATCAAACGCTACACATAATAAGCCTTTTAAGATGGAAAAAAATATATGATTGTGTTGATAATCCAGTTAGGTTTGTTCCGTAGGAAGATTTTCAAATTTAATTTGAATAAGGTCAGCGATATTCATTTGCTAATCACAGAAAGAAATAATCGTAATAGAAATTATTTACTAGTTTTTTGCCATATGAAGTATTTCCATCTAATTTGATTACCATAAAAACGGTTCAGTTAAATTATAAAATAGACTTAATATGTCGCGGATATCCTTTAAAAAGGAATCACTCTTCAATAAATATTTTAGGGTAACTTGAACTGTTTTTTTACCGTACGCAACGAGGATACCCGTTAAAGATGTATATAATATAGAAATATGTTTTCCGTTTTTTCTATATATTCTACTATTTCTTTGCTCCTATTGATCATAGCTAGATGTTTTAAAGCCTTAAGCCTTCCTCGATAAATAGTTCACAAAAAAAAATTGTAACCAGTTCCTGAGATTAGTGCCTTCAGAGAAACAAACTCCTTAGCTTAATAATATTAGTATACATGCTATTACTTGTAGGCACTTCGATGTATTCAGCCTTTCTGGTATAGTACTTAAGTTCATACAAACGCTTTAGTGCTCTTGCATCATCTTGTCATCAACATTTAGTGGATACACTGTACAGTTAATTTACTAATAAAGATCCTTTTTTAACAAAAGATTCTCAATGTACCATTAATATTTGCACATTAAAATTAACAATAAACAATTCGACATATTGAAAAAATTCGGATCAGCATATTGCTCTCAACAACAGTATTAACACACCATGAAGTTGACGCACGTGGAAGAACAAATGTGACTTTGCATTTCCCTGCTTTATTTTTCAACGCGCCAATAAAATATTGTAACAGTCTAACTATACTTAAACAATCAAACGATAAGTATAAAATGCAAAACAGCTTATGTATTAGTTTGTTTTGTGAAGTTTTTGAACTTGTTCGATCTTGGTTATCAAATTCAAATAATAATGTATAAAAAGGACTGTGATGGTGTTATATTGGCAATTGTTATGTAAATAAAACAATTTAACGGTTTAAAACGCGATTTATAATAGTTAAACTTATTTGACAATTATTTTAACTATGTCACGACGTTTCGGATACTTTGCAGCAGCCGTGGTCACGGGGAGACCACGAGAGATTTAAATTGTTATGTGTTGAAAAAAAAACAAAATCGGCGAATGTTTTTTATTCTATCTAAGTAGTTTTTCAATTTATAAAAAGAATTATACCTTCGTTAACCGACATAAAACTTTTTATTCAAAAGTTTTGTCGTACGTGCTTATTTCTAGTGTCTGATTTTATTGTTAGCAAGTTAGTAGTTATTAAGTATTTGTTATAAGATGAAAGATGCATTATTTTCAAGAAAAGCTCAATATTGAAAAGAAAAAATGGATGCCAAAGATAATAAAAGGAATATAAAACCTACATCGACCCCTAAATGTCACAAGTATATATAAAGAACGTAATACCCAAAGTAGAATGTCATTTGTTAATTTTTTGGTTTCCGATTTCAGGTTTTCCATCTGAGTTGGTGTACTTTGGTTCCTCCATGTGGGAGACCCTATACGGCATGATTTTGGCGTCACCAGTGGTTGGATGGGTCTTTATACCTGTCTACTTTAGGCTACATACGAATTCTGTCTACGAGTACTTAGAGGTAAACTATTTTTTTCATATCTTAAAACTGACGTTAATGAAACTGCTTTATGACTTAAGACTTCTTCAATATGGTTTAAATAAATAAATACTAGTAAATTTTTCATTACGATTAACAATTGATTATAACAATTATTATTTTAAACTAACTGTGTCAGCCACTTCGTCCGCATAAAATAGTTATATGTGGCATCAAAATTTGTTTTTGCAAACCTCCTATTCATCTTAGTAAATTTAAACTGCTATCCGACATCGACATCGGTCGCGTCCACTTCGCTCGCGACGTTTGGGTCCGTCGTTCTTGCAAGTTAATCTTCAAAGATAGACATATAGTGTCGCGGATTTTTTTTTAATAATTTAAAAAGAAATAATTCTTTTATATAAATTTTTGGGGTATCTTGAACCATTTTCGCAGGGTCCGCATCGGAAACCCACGGAGATGAAAAATTTTCTCAGTTTTTTTCATATTTCTCGCTGGTCTTCCCTCTAACACAAAAATATTATTTTTAAATCGAACCAGTAGTTCCTGAGTTAAGCGCTAGCGTTCAAACAAACTCTTCAGCTTTACATATTAGTATAGATGATTTTATTGAGTATTCTTACGTGTATAAATAATCAAATCTTAAGAAATAAAAGAAAAAAAACAAACAAACTAAGAACTAAATATTCTTATGTCATGCAACAATTAAGTGATAAGAATATTGTCTTTTTGCGATGTTTCAATGTTCGTCTTTGTAGCACGAAATAGAAAAAAAATGCTTTTTATCATAATAGTTAATTACTTTTTTCATTAGTTGTGTCAATTACAGTCATTAAATATGTCTGTCCTATCTTTGCTAAATAAGGCTTAAACCAGAAAAAAAGAACAGTCATTTAATATAGCATTAAGTTAAAAACGTTTTGAGAGTAATAAATACTATAGCAATAATCAACGGGTCGCCAGTTCGACTCTCGCTATGAACAAGTTTTTTTTTAATATAACATCGTCTGGACAATCTAGATATAAGATAGATGGTAAAAACATCATAAATACGCTCGAATCATAGAGCATCGTCAACAAATGAAAAAGTCGTGAAGTGCCAACGTTGCTTTCGGTTTTTATCTGTGCATAGTTAAATATCCGAAGTCAAAATAGGACGGTAGCACATTCTGTTAAAAATGTTATATAAATATGCCTGAGGTCACCGTTCATTAAATGAACCTGAATGTGCTTGTCTGTTCTTCTCTGACTAAAAAAAGTATTTCCGTAAAGCCGTGGATGTCAATTTAACAAAATCTATTGTCATAACATGAAACACAAATTACTCATGAAATTACTAACAATGGAGTCAATTTAACAAAATCTATTGTCATAAAATGAAAAATTACTTGTACTTAACACATCAGAAATCACATGACACACAATCATAACGAATTACATTTAACACTTTGTCGCACATAAAGCATGAAATTACTGTAATTCAAAGAAAAATAAACTAGCAATTAGATTAAAATCTATTCCGAAGTAATGTTATGTTAAGTTACACGAGTGGGATTTTTCGTCGAGTTCACAAAAGAATATGGCTTGGAGATCGTCTTTTCTTTTTATCTATGTTACTCTTGTAGTCTAGTAACCGAAGCCGATGAACAACCAAAGTTTTTGTCTCTCTCGTACAATCTAAAAAAAAGAACTGCTACACAAAATGGCCAGCGGTCAACTTTAACTAAAATACCATAACCATACTAAGTTTTCGTCTAATAGATAATATTGTAATCGGAGAAAAAAATAATTCTTGATTCTTCTTAGTTGAATTGTTCTTCATAAATATAACAATACTAGCTGTGTCAGCGACTCTGTCGTTACCCACGACGTCGATCGTGCCCCGTCCTTATTGAAAGTTACTCTTAAAGGATAGACATACTGATACAGATATTGTTTTTAATAATTTTAAGTCACAGTCTCCACGTGACCACGGCTGCTGCAAAGCATCCGAAACGTCGGGCTGAAATTAAAAATCATTTTCAAATCAGTTTAACTAATATATCGCGTTTTAAACCGTTAAAGTGTTTAATTTAAATGCGTACTGCTCTCGTAAACTATAGACAGTAGGAATTATTCTTTCATACATATTTTTCCCATATTTAATATTTTTAAACCCTCAAAGATGAATATAATTTCCCGTTTTCCACATTTCCCACTGTTTATTGGACTTATGTTTTATAGCCTCAAGCCTTCCTCGATAAATACTATTAAATACAACCACTCAAAAATAATTAGAAGTTCCTGTGTATGTGATTAGTGCGTTCAGACAAACAAACTCTTCAGCTCAATATATTAGTATGAATATGTCTTTTAGTATGGCTATAGTAAATTAATTACCAATTTAAACTGCTATTTTATTTAATCAATAATTATCGTTAGTTCTTTGTCTTACTAACGAGTAAATTATCGTCTTGTCTCTCGTATAATGTAAATAATTGTAATTTCAGATGCGTTTTGGCTCAAAATCTGTTCGCCGCTTAGCTGCCGTGACCTTTCTTCTACGTCAAGTATTGAACTTGGCAGTCACAGCGTATACACCAACAGTGGCGCTACACGCAGTGCTCGGTTTGCCCCACTGGGCGTCGGCTGCTGCTTTGACTGTGGTAGCAATAGTTTTTAATTTGCTAGGGGGATTGGCGGCGGCAATTAGGTAAGATTCTTATATATTTATCCTATGTTAGTTATTTTTAGTGAGCTCTTTGCTTTATCTCTTGTATACTACAATCAGTATTATTTGTATATTAGTGAAAATGTGTAAAGAGTCATATGTAAAGAGACTGATTTTACTAAAAACCACTATCAATGACAGATGTTCGTAATAAATGAAGCAATATCTATTTTCACTGATAGTGATGAAGAATAGCTAATGACTGTAAAAAACGTCGTTTTCTTTCTTTCTTTTCTTTCAAACTAAAAGTTAGAAAAATGTTTTTTCAATTTAGTTCAATCTATTCTGGTCCCACGGTCCCATGGTCTTATGAGAGACGATAGTCTCGCATATAAGAGGATAGTTAGAGCTTAAACCCACGATGCTGGTCCAGTGTGGGTTGACGGTAACGTCTATAACTTAATTAGAGGTCGTAACCGGCGGCTAAACATACCTACTCTCCGAGGCTTGTCGATGACACTTTTTAATTCCAAAATGTTACTCATTTTTTCTTACAATAATTCCATATACCGAAGCAATATTCGCCCGATCTAGGATTCACGACGACGATCTCGTGATCTGTAGTCGAGAGCAACCAATAGCAAGGCAGTTAAAATTTCAGTAATGCATATTATATAGGTAATAAGTTTTATTTGTGTTTTCAGAGCCGACGTAATTCAAACATTAACGATGGTGTTAGTCAGTGGTGCTTTTATTATTCAAGCCACGATAAAATCTGGAGGTCCAATGCAAGTCATAGAAGACAATGTAGATGGTGGAAGAATGAAGTTCTTCAAGTGAGTATTTGGAATACACACATCTACCATGAGTGACTGAAATTATTCTTACACGAATCTAAGAAAAATTGTTATTATGTTTAGTTTATATAACTATATATTTTCAATCCAGTCTTATTGTAGATCTGCTCTAAGACGATCATTTTTATCTTCTTTTCTTAGTATTGTCTATAGTTTACGTGAGTGACCGCGACTACGGTTAAAATATTTCACGTATTAAACCGTTAAACTGTTTTAATGAAATATATATTTGTGTCACATATATTTTAAGAGTTCATGGTTATCATATAGTGTAATATTAAAAAAAATACTATTTTAAATCATCATTCATCTATTTTTTCTATTTTAAGGTCGATTTTATAACACGTATCGGATTTGAACCTACGACTCAAATATTATTAACCCTGTTGTTATTTAGATCTTGACGTTTATTCTTTGAATTCCAGCTTCACCTGGGACCCAACAGTCCGTGTAGACACTTTCTCAGCCCTCATCGGCCAACTTTTCATGTCGATATCCATCTACGGGTGCCAACAGACCTTCGTACAGCGCTACTGCTCAATGTCCAGCGAATCGAAAGTCAGGCGAATGTTGTTAGCCAATGTTCCAGCTATATCTGTTCTGTTCAGTTTGTCTTGGGTCGTCGGCATGGCATTATACGCCCTTTATAGGTACTGCGACCCCCCTGATGAGTGGAAGAATCAGTGCCCCGGATGAAGTACTGCCTTTTTACGTGCAGGACCAGTTTGGTTTTCTCCCAGGAATGTTGGGGTTGTTCTTGGGGAGCATTTTTAATGGTGCTTTGAGGTGAGGATTTGAACTTGCATATTTTTTCGGGGTATTTTGAGTTCGAAATTACTTAAATTATGTTAAGATTTAAAAAACAGTCAGAGGATACCATATTTAAGTATTGTCGTTTAAAATTAAGTATTTTACGCGAGTACTCGTAGAATACAGTTATATAAAACACTTTTATCAGTTTAAAATGCGACATATATTAATTATAATCCGTTTCAAAAGACGCAATCCATCTCCAGCTGAGGAGCTGGATTGCGTTCGTCAGGTGCGAACGTCAGGCCATACTTAGTAAAATTTATAAATATAGCTATATTTCACATTCTAACCGTTAAAATTGTTTTATTTCAAAAGTAAAATTTCAATTATTATGCCTTTGATAATTGCAAAGATCAATAATGAGAATTATTTTGGAACTTAAATTAATTAATATTAAGTTTATTTAACATGTTAAATAAATGTTGTTTCAGCTTTTTGGTCTCTAACATAAACTCGCTATCGACTGTCACTTGGGAGGACTTTATATCAGCAGCGCCCGCGTTTAAGGACATTACAGATAAACAACAATTGACTATTATTAAAATTATCGGAGTAACTTACGGTAAGTTTTGTATTAGAGTTGGTCGTCAATTTGGTTGTAAAAAAGGTCTATTTAAACCACAATTTCAACAACTATGTGTAATTATTGATTACAAGAAAAAATATTGTCATATTGAATTTCAAATCAAATTACTCTAATATAATTGTGTGTGTGAAATCCCGTTTCCCCTCGTGGCGCATGGGGCGAACACATTTCTGTGTCCGTTTTACTGGTCGATTTTAATTACAGGCAAGTTGTTGATCAGACTTCTGTGCCCTGCCCGACCGAAACAATCTATTGTTTCTCCGCGATTCGAACTCAGAACCTCTCGCGCTTTACACACTGCTAGGCAACACTTTTAACCATTTAGCTACTAGAGGCGGTCAATATAATTATTAGAGTACAAAAATTCGCTTATTAATTGCTTATTTAAAGATCAATTAAAATGTTTTAAATAATCTCGTTTTATTCGAATAAAAATATTATTTTTATTTTTTCAGCAATCATAATAATGATCCTGTCTTTATTCGTGAGCCTAGTCAATGGTGTAATAGAAGCTAATATGCTGGTAACATCAGCGACATCTGGTGCGCTACTTGGCGTATTTTTCCTGGCGACTCTATTTCCTATGGCCAATGGTAAAGGCGCGCTTACTGGCATGATTGTGGCGCATGTTATGACGATATGGATGGCTGTCGGAAGACTTATGTATGTTGACACGAAGAAGGAGATGCTGCCACTATCAGTAGATGTAAGTTTTTTTTTATGATAGAAGAGGACAGACATACATGAGGTTTACTTGATAATAGATAATACCTTAGCCATATATTAGACATGATGTACAGTCGGCCTATTTTGTCTTTGGATATCCACAGACTGAAAACGAAACACGATTAGACTTCACGGCTTTTTCATCTGTGGACAGGGGTTTGTAACCCGGACGGAATTTCGATATTCCTACCATCCTTTTAATATTTGTGTTCCAGACGAAGTCCAATGAGTTTCAGAAAAAATATAAATAGATTAAAAACATGTGGTGGACCTGGTGGTGACCTAATCCGCGACCCATTAATTATTAGCCATACATTACGCCCAATACACCAATAGGCCGTCGAATGTACGATCGATTGATATTAAATTAAAGAAGTTAGAAGTGTTTAAGAATATTTAGATACATAAGTAATTTGTATCAATAAGAATGAAGAGTAGATAGAGTTCTATTGGATGTATATAAGCGATTCACTACATTGAAAATTTGACAAAACTTTTTTCACTTTTTATTTAGACGATTCCTTAATTTACTTTTATATCGACGCCTAACGAAAAAAGATTTCTCTTGTCTTCTCCTACGATTGACAGAAGACAAGGTCTCTTTATTTTTATCGTATAATTTTAATGTGATATTGACATTTGAAGTTTTTTTTTAATAACAAGAACTAAACAAACGTAATATAAGAGGTGAAAGATGCTAACAGTAGGAGTTTTTTTCAGAGCTGCCCCAACTCAACAGCTAGAGTACTCAGTCCCATGGCAGTAGTCGTTAACGAGACTCTCACACAATATGCGGCTGTATTCAATACGATAGACAGTTCTCATCCTGCAAAGGATGTATCTAGTAATGTCGTGTAAGTATTACATAAAGGGCACACTCTAGAATGTAGATAAAAAAATATGACTCGCTTCTCGCAACCAAGAGTAAGGTCGCGAGATCGAAGTTATCGCGACTCCTTCGAAATTGAAAAGTACGAGTGTTTTGTAGTCTTTTGATAGCTACATTCTCATTTTTAAATTCTATAATAGTTATTATCTCTTTCTAGCTATGAAAATGTCTCTCAATATTATAGACTAACGTTTCTGTCTCTTTTCAGCTTCGATTTCCTAATGAAATTCTACTCCATATCCTACATGTGGTATGCAGTAATTGGAACGGTCATTTGCATTGTTTGCGGAGTGATAGTCGGCTACCTGACGAACAGTGAAAGAGATAAATTTGACGAGAGACTGCTACACCCTCTTGTCGCAAAAATGGCACGTAAAATGCCAGGTAAATCTCACACGTTCACGACGGAACGAGAGAAAACCTCAGAGGAGAAGGAGACTTCTGACAAAACCTGTGATACGACGGTTGAAGATGAGAAACCAGGCAATTCACCAGTGTTTGCGGATAGTAGAATTTTTGAAACGCACGAAAATCTATCTACATCAATAAAGACTAGGCTATGATAAGACTTTGAAGTGATGTCAATTGATATAACTAATCAATAGTGTGCAATTGTAAGATGGTTTCCAGAACTTTTATGGTAATTATTTTATCAACGAGTGCTGTGATTTGTGACATACTCATTATTATAAATGTAATAATGTGTCCAATAAAGTATTCGATAGGTAACAAAAAATAGATTTTAAGTTTGAAAAGGCATCAGTTTTGACAGGCACTTTAGCCCAGTTGTAGCAATATAAAATAGCGGATTACGCACTACCTAATAGCATATTTTTTAACGTGTTACTTTTATCTAGGAAATCCGGCCATTAATTGGTTGTCAGAAATAACATATACCGTCCGGATATCGTACTATAGATGGAAAAGCCATAAAGTGAACATTTGCGTTTCGTTTTCAGTCTAGCATTAATATTATATTTAATAATTCATAAACTTCGATGATTGTTTTAATGAGGAAAAGAAGAGTTATGAATGCGTTTGTGATTATATAGAATAATGCCAATTACTTGTTAGACGAATCAAAGAATTAACAACATTTTCCTGTTCAAAACGGGATTTTTATGTTTGTATAATGTGTATGTAAGAATTTGTAATTCGTATTGAATAAAATATATTATTTTGTAATTTAAAATCGTTATTGAAGAATGCAGTACAATTTAATCCAAGTATTATAAAAACTATTCTTAGGAACTAGGACTAGACATATTTTTTATTGTAACAGCAATATCCGAAAACTGTATAATTATGCAGTGTATTTTATTGATCCAGGGTAGTCACAGGGGTTATATATAGATAATTATATTAATGTTATTTATTGTGCATAGTTATGTTTAGTTGCCATGTACTTATGTTGATCAGTATTAGATTGTAATTTGTGATCATTTTTGTAAGAATCGAATAAATCATTGATTTATTTAATAATCATATACAATTTATTGATTTGTTTTATTTCAAGCAATAAACTTTTATCTTTATAAACTTCAAAAGAAATCAATAGCCGTCGTTGTCTTGTTGTTAGTGCACTCGACCAAACACTAAAAGCTTTGAATCGCGAGTCGAGATATTTGTAATAATTCTAATAACATTAGTTCCCGGAGTTTGGAGGTAGACTCTTATTATCGCACCCCCGTACCCCAAAAAGCACGTTATTACACCACTAATTACTGGCTGGTCGTGGCGTTACATGAGCTCAAACCTTCCTATTGAGGGAAGACCAAAGCCAGTAGAAAAAACGGGAAAACATATTCATGTTAGAGGGTTTCCAATTCATACTTATGAAAGAATACTAATTAAAGAAATATTCCTCTTTAAAGAATCTAGAAAAATATCCGCAAAACTATATGTCTATATTTTAAGATTAACTTGCAAGAACGACGGGACGCGACGGATGTCATGAGTAGAGAACTACGTACGGCTTAAATAAATAAAGATAGCGAGGAGGTTTGCAAAACAAACTTATTCGGATGTCCAAAATAACTATTCTACGCGGACGAAGTCGCTGACACAGCTTGTACAATACTAAATAGGAAAATGTTCCTACAAAAAAAAATCACAGCAAGATGCTTCAAGCAGTTTCAACATTAAATGAAATTAACTTGACAGGCGTTTTTTTTTTCAAGAATATAATATCGTCAGTAAGGTATGTAAATGTATTTTAAGCTGATAGTAAGCTAAATGGGAAGCGATAAATACGCTTATAAATTGTATTTGCTAGCATTAATGCTGACAAATGGTTCGTTCCCACACCCATTTGAAGTTCGACACAATTCGCCATAAAACTTAACCTGACGGAAACAGGGACGTAATCAAGGCAACTGCGGTTCAATAAGACCCTGTCTCTATTAGTGTAAATAATAATTAAAGTATTAAATGTTATATTAAGTTAAGTTCTCATATAACTAACACTGTGGTATTAGTTACCATACTCCTCCGAAACGTCCTGGGTTCGAATCCCGGGGACATAGTAAATTGTTTCGGTCGGGCAGGACACAAAAGTTGATCACCTACTTGCCTGTAAATAAAACCGATCAGTGAAACGGGCACAGAAATGTGTATGCCCTACGCCACGAGGGGAAACGGGATTTCACATACAATGTTTGGTGTTATACTATTTTTTATAATATGACTTCATCACTCATAGCGCGAAATAGTGTATAAGGCAAAATTACATTTATGTTATCTAGTGAGCTAAAAATACAAGAGAACCAAATCATCTAACATATAATTGGTGTATAAGTTCTGTGTTTAGAAGAGGTACACTTAGGCGTAAAAATATACGTTCTTCTCACTGAAAATCAAAAATTTACACACCTCTTCGATGTTTTTTATCAATAAGATTATGTAACTTAATGATATGAGAAAAAAAAAAAAATTTATATAGATAACCGAAAAACGTAAAAGTGCGTTTTCGGGTGCCAAACAAGTGTTTATAAACGAAAGGGGTTCCTTCCGGCTTCCAATTTTAAAATTAAATTCAATAAAAAGTAATTCCACCAAAAACACTTTCTTGTTCTTATATTTTTTTCAGCGTGAAGTTCATCCCTGCCCCCAGGCTTTGCTTATGCAAATCGCGAGAAAGGACACTTGGCAAAATTTGGTTTTCAATGAGAGATTTGGCTCGAAATGTGGCGGCGCTCCAGTATTATAGTCACTTTTACTGTGCTAGTGGGATTTTCTTCGCAAACGATTTAAAGTCCGTTTGGAAGAATAGGAATGATCTATCGTATGGAGTTTCTACTCGTATACAGCAATTGAGATTTGACGTTGAGCTTTTGAAACTCTGAGACGTGAAGTTTCTTTATCTTTCCAACAAATCAACAGACTATAATTCAATCACAAATCAATTTGAGACTGAAAAAAATACCTCACGTAATCGGGCATATACATATATTAGATGACGTCTAGGACAAAGTAGCTCAATTGAATAGAGCAATAGCACGGAACGCTAAGGATGCCAGTTCAAATTCTGTCACCTTTTTTTTAACCAAAAAATATTTTTAAATGTAATAATGGCATTTTATATAATAACATGTGAATAATGTTAAAATTTTTAGAAGTTATGAGTTTCATACGGCGTATCAGATTATTTTTTATGCAATACATCATAGCACCCTAATTACTAAATATATAATATATATTTAGTAAGTAGATTCTTCAAAATTAGCTTAGAAAAGCTAGCAAAAACACCTCTGGAGCTCAACGGTCAAACGACCAGCTTTGCGTTCAGCACGATAAGTCATTGGTTCAAATCCGAAAGAAAAAATAAAATTGCCGACATCATGATCAGGCAGAGCGTATGGCCAATAAATTTTATTGTCGGGCAAGTGAGTTTTCCTATCAATAAAATCACCCATGGCCTACGGAATGCAATGGGACTCCCGTTTGTGTCCCGAACCATCGTCCACAGATAAAAAAGTCGTAAAATATAAATCAGTCAGTAATATCCAAAGCTAAAAATACTTTCGTTCCAGTTAACCTTATGATTATCTGTCTAGCTGTGACATTAAAATATATCTTCTATATTATACTAAGGAAATATATATGAATAAATATAGTATAATAATTAAAAACACTCCTAAATTAGACAGACAACAATCCACGCGCCCGTATTGTTTATACGCGTAGAATAACCACAGAAAATGCATAATTCCCAACGAAATAGTAGTAAAACACATCTGCATAAACAGAATTGCAAATTAAAATCAAAAATGGGTCATGGCGAGGTGCTGATATTTTTAACGAGCAACGTAAAAAGTGGAGTGAATCGTGTAACTGAGCTGAACTAGGCTTTATCGGTACAGAAACTTGATTTTTTCACGTTGTTCCCTTCGTTTTAGCTAACTTAGCTGTTTTCGCTTCTCGATCTTGTTTTTGAGAACGTTTTCAAAAACAAGATCGAGAAGTGAACTCAGCTAAGTTAAATAAATATTCAAGTATAAAGTTGCAAAGTTATAATTATACTGTTATATTTTATTTCGTTAGAGCTGGAGTATTATTAATGTTACAGAGAAATGTTAAGAATTGCTACATATAACAATTTTTATTTATTTAACTATCCGTTCAAATTATCAGGGTCGTTTTATTTCAAAAACATTTATTTACCACCTCTATCGTGAAAAACCAATTTTAAAAACACAAGGTACTTTAGAAATATGCAATTGTACATATTATGATCCTTTTCTGGTTTCTTCGGGAACTTAAGGAAGTTTTATGTGAAAAGGCATTATCATAAAGAGTTTATTTTACATCTCAGACTACACATAAAGAACTAAAAAATGAGTAAACGTAACCGAAGGGGGTGGAGGTGGGGGAGGTAGCAAAGCTCGATTGGCAGCTACGAGCCTCGTCTTGATTTAAAAGTTGGGGCTTGGCGACAATTTCAACTACAGAGTGGGATATGTCATAAGATTAAGCGACATTAATTTTAAGCTTATATAGCTTTTTAAGTCAATATCAGTCAGCAAATAGTCGTCGTTACAGGTTATTTATAATACTAGACCTAGTAGTCTAAGTTGAAACTCATTGTACAAGTATGTCATTGTTTGTGCATACAAAAGTTTTGACATTTAAATATTCAAATCTTTCGAGTGAAAATTCTTATATACATTACACGGAGACAAACATATTACTATATCCTATTTGCTAACAAGCAAAGAATAGATCGCAATTAAATATCATGTATCTCCGGGAATCGAACCGTGAAACTATCGCGCTTCAAGTAATACGCAACGTGTTAAACCATCGCTCAAAAACGGTCCAATTATTTAGATCGAGTAATATAAAAATAATCCGCTTATCGCTTACATTTGCGCCGCAACCTTCGCTCTAGTTTTTAGAGGGATCTTTATGACGACAAGGTTTCTACGACGCTGTTCTAGCTCAATATAGACACTTGGCTACATACAAAGAGAATATTTTCGCGATGAAAATATAATGTTCTCAAAATATGGCTGCTTTTAGTTCGCCAGGTGGGTAGTTATGAAAAATGTGTACAGTTTAATGG